GGTTGCAGGCACATCCCCAGTAGGGGGTGTGCAGGAGGCAGCTGAGTGATGTTTCTCTCTCATCGATGTTTCTAACTCTCTATCCCTCTCCCTTCCTCTCTGTAAAAAATCAATAAAATATATTAAAAAAATATTTTTTATTGACTTCATAGAGGAAGGGAAAGGGGGAGAGAGAGAGAGAAACATCAATGATGAGAATCATGGATTGGCTGCCTCCTGCACGCCCGCCACTGGGGATTGAGCTGCAACTCAGGCATATGCCCGACTGGGAATTGAACTGTGACCTCCTGGTTTGTAGGTCAACTGAGCCACACTGGCCGGGGCTAATTCTTTTTTTCTTTTAATAAAATTTTAATTAATTAATTTACTTATTTTAAATATATTTTTTATTGATTTCGGAGAGGAAGGGAGAGGAATAGAGAGTTAGAAACATCAATGAGAGAGAAACATCGATCGGCTGCCTCCTGCACACCCCCTGCTAGGGATGGGCCCGCAACCAAGGTACATGCCCTTGACCGGAATCGAACCTGGGACCCTTCAGTCTGCAGGCCGACGCTCTATCCACTGAGCCAAACCAGTCAGGGCGACATCATTTTTAAAAATTGATTTTAGAGAGGGAGAAAGAGAGAGAAACATCAATTGGTTGCCTCCCACATGGATCCTGGCTGGGGATCAAACCCACAGCCTGGGCATGTGCCCTGACTGGGAATCGAACCAATGACCTTTAGGTGCACGGGACAATGCTCCAACCAACTGAGCCACACCAGCCGGGGTGAGATGCATATAATTCTTATCTTCATTTTGCTCATGAGGAAACAGAGGCTTGGATTGTCCAGTAAAGAGGATCAGGCACATTTGATCCTCTTTCCTAGGTCGTCTCATTTGCCCGCAGCCTCGCTCTTTTAGGCTGGCCAGCTTCCAGACATGGAGGCTGTGCTCATTATTGGACACGCACACCCCAGAGCAGGAAGGACTGAGCACCTGTACAGCCCACCCATTTCACAGCTGAACTGGGGCCCAGAGAGGGGCTGAGATTCTCCTAGGATCACACAGCGAGTCGAGTGGAGGCGAGAATGCCTGGCTTCCTCGTGTGAGCTCCTCCTGCCGCCGGGCACCTCTTATGCTTTGCTGTCCTGGCCACGGGAGTTCAGCAGGAGTGAGGACACAGCAGGACGGACTCTCTGAGGCCAGGTAGGAAGGGAAGGATGGAGGGGAAAGAGCCTGGCATTTAGCACCGGACAGTTCAGGCCCCACCTCTGGCCTTACTGGCTGCGAAGCCTTAGACAGGTAGGCAGCTTCTCTGAGCCTGTTCGTCATCTGTAACCTGGGAGGGGAAGGGGTAATAGCCAGCCCCCACTTAGCGTTCATTTTCTCTCTGGCAGATGGGGCATCCCCCCCGCTCCCCGCCTGGTTTCATTGCCCTCCTGCCCCCCATTTGGGGTAGACATTATTGCCACCCAGCAAATGCAGAGGCTGAGGCTTAGAGGGAAGTCATGTGGCCTTCTAGCTACTGACTTGGGCAAATTCCTTAGCCTCTCAGTTTCCCCATCTGTGTCTCAGTTTCCCCATCTACAAAAGGGAGCTGTGATATCTATCTCAGGGGGCTGTGTGTAAGAATTAGAGGGAGAGCCCTGGCCAGTGTAGCTCAGTTGGTTGGAGCGTTGCCCCATGCACGAAAGGTTGCAGGTTTGGTTCCTGGTCAGGGCACATACCTAGGTTGCAGGTTAGCTCCCCAGTCAGGGTGCATATACAGCCGCTTGATGTTTCTCTCTTACATCGATATCTCTCTCTCTCTCTCTCTCTCTCTCTCTCTCTCTCTCTCTCTCCTCTCTCTCTCTCTACCTCCCCTCTCTAAAATCAATAAAACACATTTTTAAAAAAATAATCAAATGGCCCTAAATGGTTTGGCTCAGGATAGAGGATCGGCCTGCAGACTGAAGGGTCCCAGGTTCGATTCCGGTCAAGGGCATGTACCTTGGTTGCGGGCACATCCCCAGTAGGGGGTGTGCAGGAGTCAGCTGATCGATGTTTCTCTCTCATGGATGTTTCTAGCTCTCTATCCCTTTCCCTTCCTCTCTGTAAAAAATCAATAAAATATATTTAAAAAATAATCAAATGGATAAATATATGCGGAGTGCATAGAATGGTATCCATAACATGCTATGTAAATGTTTGCCATGATTATAATGTTGGTCAATGGTCCTCATGGAGTTTTAATGAAGATTAAATGAGATAACAAGATGGTAAGGTCTATGCAAAGGTGCTCTTAAATGGCAACATTTTGCCAGGATTTCAGGGCACAGAGCCTCCCCCAGATTGGACCTTGAGAGGGAGATAGCTGGGGCAGAGGTGCTGGCAGGAGGTGGCCCCGTCTCCAGCTGTGGAGGCGTGTGGGGGAGGCCTGTCTTAGATCCTACGGTTTCCCCACTCGTTTCAGCCTGGGCGCCACTTTCCTTTTTCCCCTCTGACTCCTGTTCCCTCATCTGTGAAATGGGGACAGTGGTATTTGCTCTTCCTTTCTCAGCAGGGCTGTGAGGATCAAAAGGGATTATCGATGCAGAAGTGTTTGTGAACTGTAGCGGATTGTTAGCGCTGGGCTCTGTAATTATTACACCAAATAGGTCATCCTTGGGGCCTCTGTCTCTTTTCCTGTCTCAAGGACAGGGAAATAGGCAGGTCGCGTGCCTCAGGGCAGAAGCTAAGGAACTGGCTCTGGGAACAATAGGAGAGACAGAAATTGGGCTTCAGGAAGTCTCAGTCAGCACGGGGAAGGGAAAGAGAGAGCAGGAAGGGGAGGCCTCACGACCTGGGCAGCTGGGCTAAGTTGAGTGCTTGAAGGCAGAGAAGGAGCAGAGGCCCGGCTTTTGGTGCCAGGGGAAGGAGTCCTCATGGGGCAGCTCGCTTTTTTTTTTTTTTAATGTATTTTTATTGATTTCAGAGAGGAAGGGAGAGGAAGGGAGAGAGAGAGAAACATCAATGATGAGAGGGAATCATGGATTGGCTGCCTCCTACACGCCCCCCACTGGGGATGGAGCCCACAACCCAGGCATGTGCCCTTGGCCAGAATCAAACCTGGGACCCTTCAGTCTGCAGGCTGACGGCTCTATCCACTGAGCCAAGCCGGCTAGGGCGACAGCTGGCTTTTTGAGGACAAAGCATCATGGGAGGCTGGTGGGGCTTCAGAGACGAGCCAAGCACCCCAAGTCTCTAAGGGCCAAGGTCTGTGGGGTGGTCCCGGGTCAGGTGGGGGCTTGAGACCCATCAGAGTCCCAAGCCCTACCTGGTGCCACCCTTCTTCTGGGGCAGCTGTGGGTAGAGATGGGAGGAGCCTCCCTCTCCTGGTAGGTTTTGGGATTCTCTGGAAATTAAATGTAAGTGCGGAACACACTTTCCGACATGGTGTGGGGCCGTCTGCGGGAGAATTCCTGGAGTTTCCGGGCAGGGCGTGGGCAGGAAGCTGGTGGCTTCTAGAGTCGGGCTGGGTCTTCCCTGGGCTTGCGGTTCTTTCCAGGGCCATCCGGGCTCTGCGGATCCCGCCTTCACCCGCTGTCTGGATTGCAGCTAGGTCCCATCTGGCTGTCTAGGTTCGATCTGAGCTGTCTGGCATCTGTCTGTGCCGAGTCTGGTTCGGTCTGAGCCCGTCTGGTTCTGCCAGGGTCTGTCTGCGATCTGCTTGGACCCTGTTGAGGTTCCATGGGAGCTCTTCTCTTTAGACCCCACCCGGCCCCCCCAGGCAGACGCTTTTTGGATCCTGTCTTGATTTCACTCAGGCTCTGGTACTGACTAGTAGATTCTGAGTGGTGTGAGGTTCTTCCCGGGACTCAGGGTGAACCCTTTAAGTCTCCCGCGGGGCTGGTTAGGGCCGCAGGTGTACTTAAGCTGGGCGGGCTCGGCTTTTGTCCTCAGACTTCTGCCCCACGCAGAGAATCTTGAGTCAGGAGGGCAGCACCGGTGAGCCTCCCTGCCCCTCCCCTTTTCCCAGCTCCGAACCAGTGTGCAGACCTGAGGCTCTGAGGCTCTGGGGCTGGGAGACCGGGCTCGGGGGGCCTCCCGGATGCCCCGGGTGCGGTGACCGCGGTGTCCGCACGAGGCAGCACGCAGCTCTGCCCTGGGTCTGCGTGTGGGTGAACGCCAGCCTGTTACTGTGTCTCTGTGTGGGTGTCAGTGGGCCTGTCTGTGTGTCTGGTGTGTGTCACTGGTCTCTCGGAGGGAGGTGTGGGTGTGTAAATCCCTTTGTGTCTGTGAGCCCCTGGGGGTGGAGGGCTGAGCAGCTGCAGGTTGCAACTAGGAAATCCAAAGCAAGTGAGAGCAGGTGGGTGTGAAGTGGGAAGAGGCTGGATGAAAGCAAAGTGAATACACCAAGGAGAGTCGGGGAGTCAGTGGGGCCGCGGGGGCAGAGCAAGCTGAGGGGGTGCAGGTGGGCAGGAGGAGGAAGACACAGGAGGGAGGGGGGTCGGGGTGCTGCTGTCTCCTCCAGCCCTCATGGGGCCTGACTGCTCGCTCAACCCGGCACCCCCCCGCAGCCGGCAGTGAGTTGACCTTGTAGAGGGGACGTGGCAGGGAGAGGGGCACGCAGGCCGGGAAGAAGAGGGGGCACAGTGAGGCCTGGCCCCAGTGGCTGAGGGATGGTTGGGGGTCCGGCTCCTGGGACTCCATTCCAGACCCCTTCTCAGAGCCCAGAGCCGATCACTGCACGGCCGACATTCAGCTGGTTGTTACAGTGTTGAAACACCTCCGTGCTGGTTGGTTAATAGCAGGTCCTGTGCATTCCCAGGGCCACATCCATCCCTGAGAGGCGCCTTTTGCTCATTCCCATCAGCTACCTGGCCCCTGGTGTGCTGTTCCACCCATGGCCAGTGTTCATCCTGACCGCCTGGGGGCTGGCCGTGCACCCTGCCTATGGCCCCTCCCAGACGCCTGCTCTGAGCCGAGAGCTGGCAGCAGCAGGGCCAGGGTGGGGCTGCTCATGGTCTCCACCTTGCTTGGTCTCGCAGGCGAAAGACAGTGATGATGAGGAGGAGGTGGTCCATGTGGATCGGGATCACTTCATGGATGAGTTCTTTGAACAGGTAACTGAGTCTCCAACACCCCAGACCCAGAACCTGGCCCCCAGCCAACAACTCCCCCCCCTGCCCCACACTCTCTAGTCCTCCACCCCTTGGCCTTTCGCCAGCCCCTCTGTGTCTGCCCATTTCCCTAAACCCCGAGTGAGCCCTGCGGATGCCCTGTCTGGCCTGAAGACTTGACTGGGCATCGCCAATTTGCCGCCCCAGGTGGAAGAGATCCGGGGCTGCATTGAGAAGCTGTCGGAGGATGTGGAGCAAGTGAAAAAACAGCACAGCGCCATCCTGGCCGCCCCCAACCCGGATGAGAGTGAGTGCCGCTGCGGAGTGGCCGGGGGCTGGGGCTGGGGTCCACCCAGACTGCTCACTCACCCCGGCCCCCTCCTCAGAGACCAAACAGGAGCTGGAGGACCTCACTGCAGACATCAAGAAGACGGCCAACAAGGTTCGGTCCAAATTGAAAGGTGAGGATTGCAATCCCCCGACGAAGGAGAAAGAGCTCTGCTTCCCGGCGACCAAACAGGCCTTTCTATCAGGAATGTCTACTTCTAGGAGCCAGATTCTTGCACAGTGAGGAAGCACACGGCCCCAGTTTCCCTCCTTGCTCCAGATTCCTTGAAGAAAGAGACACGACAGGGAAACAAGGGAGAGGGGGCGGGCTGTCCAGATTGTATATGAGCTCTGCCGGTTCCATCAGAAAAATATAGCCTCCCAAGTGGCTTTAGTTTCACTAAGGCCTCGTTTCCCCAGAACAGGTGCCAGGCATAGTCCCAAGCACCCAGTAGGTGGGTTCAGCAAATGCTTCTGAATTGGTATCCTCGGCTCAGGACAGATTGGACTGTGTGGCTGACATCAGGGGCTGGCAAGCTTTCAGGAGGGACTTGCCAAATGCTCATGTATTCACTCTAATTTAAGGACTTGGGTGCTGGTAATAACCACCTTCCCCCAAGGCATTGTGGGTTGGGAACCTCCTTGTCGGCCGGTGCCAGGGGAATAGCAGTGTGACCGTGATGCTACTTTGTATGCTCATGGCAATCCAGCAGCAGACACCATTGGCCACGCGCCTCCTCTGTCCGAGCCACATTGCGGGGCTGTGGGGGACGGGAGCCGTGGCAGATGCCTGGGCCTGCGTGCTGTGACCTGGGTCCGGGGGATGAGGACGGAGACCTGACGCCCTCCTGGACTCAACAGGAGGCCGTGCGTTAGCCAGGGCTGATCTGTAAACACAAACCTTTTGCACTCAGGAGAGTGTTCGGGAAAGGGAAATGGCCTAAACTGGGAGCACATGAAGTACAAATGCAGGCAGAGGGAGCCCAACTGACATCATCACTCATTTGGACAAGTACCCTGCCCTCAGTAAGAAAAATGGAAGCAATCTCAAAGCTGGCTTTTTTTTTTTTTTTTTGTAGCAAAATCCTTTCTTTCCCAATGAAATCTTACAAAGAACCCCAGTATATACAGCACATAAAAATCCGGCTGTTCCGGCTGAACTGGGGCTGGAACACCCCCGTCAAGTTCCTTCTCAGAATCAGGGTTCCATGGAACACAGCTTAGAAATAAATCCCTGTGCTCCGTGATCTCCTTGGGCCCATCAAGCTCTCACCTTAATAGTCTCTCTGTTAGACCATGAGGAGGGCTCCACGGTTTAGGGCAGGGGTCCTCAAACTACGGCCCGCGGGCCACATGCAAATACAAATATTTGTTCCCGTTTTGTTTTTTTTACTTCAAAATAAGATATGTGCAGTGTGCATAGGAATTTGTTCATAGTTTTTTTTTTAAACTATAGTCCGGCCCTCCAACGGTCTGAGGGACAGTGAACTGGCCCCCTGTTTAAAAAGTTTGAGGACCACTGGTTTGGGGGTTCAGGAAAAGGTCAAGAAACTAGGAAAAGTGGCAGGAGCTTCTAGAAGCTGACCTTCCAGACCCCAGAAGAGGAGCTTCTCTTCTCCGTCTTCCTCCAGCTGTGTGGCGGCAGGAGCTCCGGTTTTGTGGGCGACGTTGGGTTGTTTTGCCCATTCGAACCTCGGTTTCTGTCTGAAACGTGGATCGATATCACTGACCTCCCAGGGTTTTTGTAAGAAGTCAGTGAGGCTGTCAAGTAAAGGACCCCTGCGCCCAGGGCTGGGCTCCAGTCCCACGTCGGGCAATAGGATCCGAGTCTGGACCAGTCTGACCTCCCTGGGGCGTGTTTGTGCTTTTCCTGCAGCAGCTGGGCCTCAGTCACTGCCCGCATTGCTGCAGGGAAGGGGGTGCCGTCCAGCCCCATAGGTCCCTGCTGCCAGCGGAACGGAGCAGTGATGTTCCCAGGACGGGGCTGGAGGCCCTTTCCAGGGCTGAGGGGACCCGGTGGCCATTCATCCCGCTGCATCTCCGAGCACAGGACATCTTACAAGCTCTTTTTAAGAAAATCTGAATAAGTGTCAGGAGGGCATGACCCGGACGCAGAAACCCCAGTTAATCTGAGCGCTTTTCCAGAATCCTTTAGAAGTGGGAATTCCGGGACAGGGTACCTGGTGGGGCAGGGGGCGAGCTATTTTCCCTGTGGAGCTTCCATCCACTCACATAGAATTTGCCAAGGAAATGGTGGCCTCTGAGCCACCTAGAAGTGCTCGCCTTCCACGGAAAACCCCGGGGTGGGCTCCGGCCCCTCCCGAGCATGCGGCGAGCGAGCTCCCTGCACACGGGGCGTCCACAGTGGCCTGGCCCCACTCCCTCGCGGGAATGGGCCGTGGTTACAGCTACGGGCTTTCCGAGGCCAAAGCCAACGACGGAACAAGTAGTGCCCTTCGGTCTGGTGACTCCCCGGCCCTCAACCTCCCCCCCACCTGCCCTCCTGACCCCCTCAAACGTCTGTCCCTTTACTTTTCGGCCTCCTGCCCCTCACATGGATCCTTTACTGTCTGCCTTCGCCACGGGTGTGACATCTCTTCACAGGCCTGGGGCCTGCCTCGGGGTGTCGGCCCTTCCTCCGTCCCGGACCCCCGCCCCGCACGCCCCGGGTCTGCGGCCCGTCACTGCATCCTCTCTCCCGCAGCGATCGAGCAAAGCATCGAGCAGGAGGAGGGGCTGAACCGTTCCTCCGCGGACCTGCGCATCCGCAAGACCCAGGTGGGCAGGCCAGGCGGGGGCGGGGCCTGGACGGAGCCGGGGAGGGGGGG